TTCGAGCGCCCCCATCACTTGATAAATCTAGCATTTTTAAAGTGTTGAGGAAGGGTGATATGGCAGGAGTGGTAATAATAGCACAGGCATAACAAAGGCTTGTTTACTTGGCCCAAAACCAAAAACGTTACCAAGAGCGGCTATTTTGGCCTGGCTTTTTGTGGGTTGTTCAGGGTGTATTACTTCCAAAACGGGCTCCGCTGGCTTCCTACTTGGGCTAGCAATAATCAAGGGTTTGAGGATGGCGCCCATACACATACGTGTAAATAGCTTTGTAATAACCACAGGAAGCGAGTGCCAGAGTGTATAGACGGCTTTTGCCATAGAAAGGTTAATACATAATCGATTGGTAGCCCGAGAGAGGGTGTGAGCGATTGAGAATGGAACTAGCCAAGCATTTTTAACATCAGATGGATGTGGTTGGTGCTGCTAGCAACAAAAGCGCCGTTACATTAAACCTCCCCCTCCTCTTTCCTCTCTTGGTCTGCATATTTTTCCATCCCAGTCATTGTACATACCTGCCCTTTTCATCTCATCCCTTGTTAACCTGGTGCCCTGTGTGTTCTTTTCGCTTTGTCTAGTGGTCCCTGCCCCACCTCTCTTTTCTTCAGCACCCTTTCTTTCTGTCTGTATATAAATTGCCGGTTAGAATTGCCTTGAAAAGCTTCCCATATTTCGTGTATTTCTGGCCACGTGCTGCATATATTTACCCAGCCTCAAACAGGTCCTTCAGAGCTAGCAGCCGCAAAGTGCTATTCATTACCACTTTTCTTTCCACAATTGTTGTTTAACCACAACAAATTAGTTGTGCATATATTGTATCTGAGAGTCTTCATTACCAAGCACATTTGTATATACAAATTCAAGGAACGAACGGTTAGAAAACCATACAACATACACCATTGATATATATATATATATATATATATATATCTAAAATGACCGATAGCACCACAGAGCCCAACAAGAATATCAGCAGCGTAAATAGCAATAGCACTGCTAATGCTGCTGGTATTGTTCCTGATATAAAGAGTGAAAGCGTTGAGGTTGCAAAGCCCGATGTTTCATCAAACATTAAAAATCCAGTCAGCCTTTCTTATCTTATGATGGCCACGGACTGCAGGTATAGCCTAGAGTTCCCTGAAACTGCTACTGTACTTGATGCAAAGACGGCTCTTCGGGGAAACTGGCCAGCTGGTAAGTCGTAGCCTATATTGCGTCCTATCCTTTTACTGAAAAATTTCTATATAATGTGGCTAATTTTGGCATCAACATCATTGTTTTATTGTAGACTTTGGTCCTAAGCCAACAAAGGTTGAACAAATAAGGCTTATTCATGGTGGAAAGTTCATCGAAGACCACACTACTCTAGAATCAAATGACATACACGAAGGAAAGGCCACTGTTCATGTTATCATCAGGCCGCTGGAGGCTTTTGACAAAACCTGTAAGCATCTGAATATTCCTACATCCATCTTTTGTCCTAGTTCCAATACAATTTTATATATGATTTTGTCTAAAAACTAATCCCAAAGCTTCTGTCCATATTATAGCCACCAAAAAGATCGGCTCGGCTCCAAAATGCGGATGTCTCATTCTTTAGGGGGCATGATATTTGTTCCTAGAGCCTCTTTATTACAACAATCACTGCTACTTTATACCTGTATTCTGCACACCCCGCTAGGAATACTCAAACCCGCTTTTGTTGCACCAGCTTGAATTCCTCCAGAAGTACCGATGTTAAAAGTATCATATAGAATGTATTACACCTATATACCGATCTCTCCATGACTCTAGTATGCATGACAAGCCTCGTAGCTCTATCATTACCCATATATATATATATACATATAAACATACGATTGCTTACAAACATCGAGGGCACTTTACATATTCTTTGCTGACGATCATTATTGATTGTGGCATTTCTATCGACCCTTTCTCAAAGGACATTGCCGGCTCTTTTTGTGGCTTCGCAAGTATCCTTAGCCCACCTGCCTTTCCCAGCAATTTCTTCAGACCCGATTCCTAATTCCACCCATAGCACTACTACTTGGATCATGGTTTACGTGATTGTTGTTATAATTATATGTACCCCTCTTTGCAGTGTTGTAGGATCCATACTTTCTTGCTTACAGGCTCAGTTTTAGCAGTATCCACACTATTTTCTACCAACATCTCGCTCTCACATTCACTCTTTCCTTGGTCACCATTTTGTCCTATAATTTTATCTCTAGTAGCATTTTATATTATATACTATTCTTCTTCCTGCCATTTGATATATACTTTATTGCTTTGCTTTGCACTTTTTAAATTTGTTGTTTCAATAACTGGATGTTGTTATCGCCTTGTTATATTTGTTGGTAATTTCTGTTGATAAATATTGGTTATCGATGCTATTCTGCTTAGTCTAATGTTACGATTTGTTTACCAACATATTTAAAAATGGAGAGCCAGGGCATTTTAGCATTTAGAAAAATAAATCGAGGCATATGGATCATAATTTTTGAGGGGTGACTTTTGGTGGCCAACGATTAAAGGTGCAGTCACATCCAGATGGGTGACTCTATAGCCCTTCAAAAATAACTAGGCATATCAGTTTTTCAACACAAGGATGCCTGGAGTTGAGAGCAAGGTCACGTGGTTTGATTACATCGTGGAATATTGGTTAGATCAATCAAGTTTGTTTGAGAGGCGTTTTCTATGCTAGAGAGATGTATATGTATGTTGATAGAATCCGATCCCTAGAATCCAAGCAAATTATCCAGCTCAGATATTGCAAAATAAGGGGGGAGTTTTTCTAAAATCTGGCTTTATATATATATGTATATATATGTGGGAGGTTATTTTTGAAGGGTGACTACTGTCTGCTAACAAATGGTGACCACTCATTTGGCAGGTTCTTCGCCAAAAGGGAACAATTCTGTGCCCTCATATATTCCTGAAAGTTTGGCCCAAAAGTCTTACATTTTGGGGGAGTGTTGGAGATATTATTCCAGTGCTTTTCTAGAGGAGATTCTGTCATTTGGCTCCGAGTGGCTCTATAAACATTGGTCGCCAAATGGTTCTCCTCAAAGCTTATCGCTCATATGGGCCATTTTTTAATATAGCCCATTAAATACAATGATATTGGTTTATGGTAGAACCCGTATACAGAGTATGCTACATTTTGCGTTACTTGGATTATATGGCAAATGCCACAGGAACCACTGACAGAGCATCTTGCGTGTTTGTTTCCAGGAGTCAAAGCAAGGGGTATGATGAGTAGCGAAGATAATGGCGATGTCCACAGTAGTTAGGTAGGCTTGGGCTTTTGGGGGCCATGCGGTTCTACTTTGAATTCTTATTGCTCCGATTCTAAGATTCGCCGGGATACGGAACTATGGCTATTCTTGAACATTTATGGTATATTGGGTTTAATGTGTCCCATATGGGCATGGTATGGGCGTTTATTAGCATTTAATATCAAAATACACAGCTTGATTATATCGCCCCACCTACAATCTGTTCCTGTCTCTTTATGGACCTTTCCAAATAAACAACTAGGGCTTCTTTGAAGGCTACGCTATTTACTATACATTAGTACTTTCCAATGGCCAGATTCTTTGTGTTGATTCTACGCCCTAAAATTATCGGCCTACTATATTACTGGTAATTGTTCAGTTGGACATTCAAAAGTTCTAGGATATGCTTTATGTGACTATTTATCTTTGTAAAGTATGGTGAATCCCCCATAGCCTTGCCAGGACATCACAGAAGCATTTGGTATAAAAGTTAGCCTTCCAAACCCAAATGGTGGGTCCTCTAGATTATTCTCAGTTTCCATTACACCTCGGTTTGCTTCGACCAGCATCTCTTTTCATATACATATCATTTTATAGTAGCCATATTTGCCATGCGTTTTCACCTACAAACATCTGCCATTGTTGCTATCATAGGCCTTCTTGCACATGGTGCTCCCACAGCACCAAAGCAGAACCTAAATCAAGATCCCAAGCAGGCTGCAAGCATTGACATAGTAGGCAACGTTGTTGGTGACGTTAATGGCACAACTTTGAGTGGTTTCTTCAACGCTGACATACAGGCATCTCTTGCCTCCATGTTCGGGGGCCCCTCCACATCGACCAACACAGCAAGTGCTGCTGCAGTGGCTGTCACCATCCCCGCCTCCAACCCAGGTATCGTTCAGAACACACTCGCCCCAGTCATCATGACTAGGATAGAGAATGAAGAGACTACCATCGTCGTCACCGACACTTATATCATTCCTACCACTGACACTGTGGGTGCTACTGAAACCATCACAGCCATCCAACTTAATCCTGTTGCCGTCGAAGTTACCGAGATAGTCCAGGTTACGGAAACATCAATGTGCCCAGCCCGTCCAACTACAACCAACTTTGTCACAAACACCATCACATCCACACTGTCTCTCATGCCCGCACAGCCCGTCATCGTGATGACACAGAGAAACACCATCCCTGTCACTGCTCAAACTGGTGTTACCATCACATTGACCGACACAGGCATCATCCCAGATGTTGAAACCGTTAGAACAACTGTCGCCACTGCCACGGGTACCGTTACCCGTACCCAAAACCAGGTTGTAACCATCGTTACCACCGAGAATGGCGAAACTACTACAATCGTTCTCCAATAAATGAGTTCTGATATTGATCGATTCCCTTCTTTCCACGCCCTTCCCCTTTTCTGATATCTCAAACAAATCCAATAAGATATATATATATATATCTTTACACATATATATCAAAACACAAAGTTGATATATATATATCTTCTCCAACATGTCTTCCCTTTAATTTCAACATTATTAGTTTCTTTTTCATTTATTTATATATGGCTTGTTTCTTTTGATTTTCTATTTGGTGTAAAAATGCATGGCAATATATTTACTATATGTCAGAATGTTTGGTTTGAATACTTGTGTATGGTAAAAATATTTCTTGAGGCTTAATAAAACAACTTGAGCAAAAAGAATGTGCATCGGCCGGGAATCGAACCCGGGTCTGCCGCGTGGCAGGCGGCAATTATACCACTAAACCACCGATGCTTGGATGAAAAAAAATTAATTGGATAATATATAAAGGTATGTAGGTATCCCAATTTATATATATTGTATATCTCCAAGTAATTTGTAGTTGATTTCATCACATCATTATCCTAACAAAACCAATTTTACCTCTGATTCATCAAATAATGAATTATACGTACCTACTATTCATTATTATTACTATACTATATTCGTTTCTTGTCCTATTTCAACTTGTCAACTTTAATTTAGATTACAAATTCTGCCCATAACAACATTGTTGACCTTGTATTGTACATTCTCTTGATTTCTACTACCTTTGTAGATGTTGGTTTCTTCAAATAAACAGTAACTTTTGCTGTTTTTATTTTCCTATGCTATTTCTATTTACCTGCTATATATTTATTTATACCTGTCTACTTGATCAACCTTCTCCAGACATTACATTTGCATATTTAATCCACCATAGCACCGAAAAGGCATACTAACCACCCCCCAAAATATAAAATGAGCCTAGACTATTCCGCTGTAGAGAAACATTGTCGCAGAATAATTTCTAATGGAGACCTAAAGTATGTGCAGATTTATATTTTATATTATAACTTTAATCAAGGAAAGTTTCTGATGAAAGGTTGTAATTTATAGCGAGTTAACCCAAAAGGTCATACGCAAAAAAGTCGAAGAATTGATGGATCTTGATGCTGGAACGCTGAGTCTAGATGAGCATAAAGACAAAATAAAGGCCGTTGTAAAACAAATTTTGGTAAGTTTATGGCTATTAGAATTTACTAAACAAGTCTTTTTGGTATGTCTGAGTTTTTGCTAACTGAGATGATGCTTTATTGTCTAGTCAGAGGATCCGGTAGAGTCATCTGATGCTGAAGATGATAAAGACGACATAAAGTCAAAAGATGATGAGTCATGCCAGGATAGTCAGGCAGAAAGTCCAAGCGAAACAGACGTAAAAAGTAGTACTAAGTTCGATGAACAGGAGGAGAATGATAAAGATGAAGATGAAGAGGATGCTGAAGAAGAAGAAGAAGATGATGATGATGATTTTGTGAACGATACAAAATCTAAAATCAGGTCGAAATTATCCCCACCAGAGAAAAAGGAACCGCAGCCAAGAAATCCAAAATCCAAAAAGAGAAAACTTGAGGATCATATTTCGGATCAAAGTACTCAAAACTCACCAACTAAGGTGAAATCTGAAAAAGAGCCGAGTGAGATCAACCAAAATTATGATAGCGACCTTTCTTCATTAATTGATGAAGAGCCTACACCAAAGTCTAAGCGAAGCAAGAAACAGGGTGACCAGGACAAAATGACCGGTGCTACTTCCTCTAGAAAATCTAGAAAATCTGGCGGCGAAAAGAAAGTTTCAGACAAAAATAGTGTCACTATTGCAAATCTTAAATCATATATTAACAAATGCGGAGTCAGAAAGGTTTGGTAAGCCTAGAATTTCTCATGCAAAAATATATGGTTTAGAATATAGTTTGTATTCTATAAACAATGCTTTAAATTCTTTGGTTAAATAGGTCAAAGGTTTTAGCTGGTATGAACGCACCTGAGCAGATCCGGCATTTGAAAAAGTTTCTCGAGGACTTGGGCATGGAGGGAAGGCCAAATTTAGAGAAATGTAAAAAAATCAAGGCTAAGCGTGAATTGCAGGCCGAAATAGACTGTAAGATAAAAGCCCAAGTTAATGCACTATCGTTATCTACACAGCAATATATATAACAATTAATATTTTTTATGAATACTTGTATTGTTTATAGGCATGGACACTCGCAACATTATCGGATCGATAAATGAAAAAAGGCCAACCCTCAGAGAGAAGCAGCCATTCAGAGCTAATAGGAGAAAGGCTGTAGTTGAGGATGACGACGATAGCGATGTTGAAGACGATTTGCCAAAGAAGAAAGGCACAAACATAATTGAGGATGAGGATAAAGACACCGATTCGGGTGTGAGCAGAAGTCCTGATTCTGAAAATGATAAAAGCGACTTTAAGGTTGGTTTGTTTGCTGTTTAAATGTCTAGTTTATGTCGATCGCATGCTATTTCTGACTTTATATTGTATGTTTGATTAGGAGTCTGATGAGGAATAGCTTCCTTCAAACACGGTATTCATCTATCTTGGGTTTACTATTTTTTACTTTTTTAGTTGCTAATAAAAACCCCATTTTCAGTTACCATTTCCTTTTGCATTATGACCAACGTTTGTGTTCTTTATACAGCTGTTAGTACAGAATCCATGTTAATCAAATCATGGAATCATTTTGTTGTTCCAACGCCATTTTACGCGTCTGGAGATTGTTTCTTGTGTTTTGGTTGGTGGATACGTGGGTATTTTAAATGCTATGTATTCAAGTATTAAGCCCAAATAATACCCCTAGTTTGTGATTGCCTGCAAATATACTGTCTTTTGTTGTGTAAAGCTGCTTCCCTGTTATATTTTTTGTATTCCCTTGCAAGTTAAATACCTAATTTCTACTTTGGCTGTTGAGCAATTGCGTGAACAACAACGTAAAAATGGCTGAAGTAATCCAACAGCAGAGGCTTACTTTCAAGCCCAAGCTATTTTCTGGGTCAAGCAAAAAGAAGCCTGTTTCTCTTAATGAGCTGACTCTTCAACTAAAGGTGAGCTGACAAAAACTCGGCGTAAAGACTGGTATATATGGCTTATATACGACTGGAAGTTTACGGTATTGAACCAACGTTTTTGGTAATAATAAATAGAAATTGTCAAAGGAGCTTTGTGATATGGATCAGGGAACAGTTGATACTAGAGCTCTAGACTTTATCACGAAACCTTTACTGGAAAAATCGCTGGTCGGACATAACGATCCAGGAATCCAAGCATATGTTGCTTGTTGCATTTCTGACATTCTTCGTCTCTATGCCCCAGAAGCACCATACGATGAATCAGAGTTAAAGGTATTGTAGAGTTGTTTAATGGGGTTTACATACTATATTATGATCAGTGTGGTAAAGGTAATTATATATTATATAAATTTATATTCATCACAGGCAATCTTTACATTCTTTGTTCGCCAATTAAGACATCTAAAAGATACCAGCAGCGAGTATTATACAATCTATGCGTATCTTCTCGAAAGTCTGGCAACAGTTAAATGTGTGGCTCTTGTAGCGGAGCTTGATAATGTTGATGACCTAATAATCGAGTTTTTTAAAACATCCTTTGAAGTCATAAGGTAAATAAATGGTTATCACCATTTTATTTGGTTGTTCGCAGCAATGATACTTTGCTATACAACAGAATAGCTGATCTGATACCCCTCTTTCTTATGTATTCTTAGCCCAAAACAACCTAGGAATATCCAAGTTCACTTTGCAGATATACTTCAACAACTTATCGAAGAACCCAAACAAGTGCCACAAGAGGCAGTGGATATAATCCTACTCCAATTTCTGAGGAAGAGACAGGTGGAGAACCCTGCAGCTTATCAGATGGCCTGTGATCTTGGTAACGCAACAACAGATATTCTACAAAAATATGTGTGCCAAGTAAGTAGCTAATCCAATTCCCCTTAATAATATTACAACTGAAATATTAGTTTACTCAATTCTATTTATTTTTCTACTACAAAAAGTACTTTAACGATGTTATTGTGAGTGCAGGCAAATCACAAGAAGACGGTTCAAAAGCAGATATGAATGATATGCGCACTGCCCACCACCTGATCCTTGAGTTGAACAAGGCCACCCCGGCGCTCCTATTAAGTGTTATTCCCCAAATAGAGCAAGAGCTTGGTGTAGATGATACTGATTTACGTGTATTAGCGACTCAGGTTTTGGGAGAAATGCTGGCAGAGAATGGGTTTACCTTAGCAAAGAGATACACTTCTACATGGAATGCCTGGAAGAGGAGGCGCGCAGATCCATCACCACACGTTCGCACTGAATGGGTTTCGAAAGCAGTCTCGCTATTCCAGCATCAGCCACAGCTTGCTAGAGATCTAAGCGAACCCATCATCGAGAAGTTGAGGGACACAGACGAAAAAGTGAGAACTGCCACTTGTGAGGCCTTTGGACAGATTGAGTGCCATCCCGCAATGTTCTCTGCAATAAGCGCAAAAGTTATTCAGGAACTAGGGGATCGGTGCAAAGACAAAAAGCCAAATACTAGAAAAGAAGCCACACGTGCCTTGGGGTCTATTTATGACCAGGTTTATGGCGAAATTCTAGAGGATAACCCTGTGGTTTTGGAGAAATTTGGAAGGATTCCAGAAATGATTCTCAATCTTGTTTATGTAAATGATCCGGATATACTACTTAATGTTCAAATTTCTTTGGGAAATAGCATCTTTAATCTGAACAGTATTAAAGATGACTACCAAAGAACTCTTAGAATAGTCTACGTACTTTCAAAGCTACCTGAACGTTCTTTGGTGGCTTTTTCGGGATTGATAAAGATCCAGTCTGAGGCAATTCGCTTATTTAGAATATTTGCACACTTTTGCGAAAAATATGACAAAAACACTGTATCCGAGGAAAACGAGGCTGTTGGTAGAAAACTCCAGGCATCAATTGAGGCTTTGGCGGGGCGCTTCCCTGAGCCAGTAAAGTATACCAACTACTTTTCACAGTTTGCCAACATTGACGATAAGACTATTCTGAAGGGATTCTTGACATCTACAAGCTCATCAAGCGACTACAAAACTATTCGTAAAACACAGGTATGTTTTGGTCTTGGCAGTTTGCTTGATATTTCTATAATCAGTAAATACATGATTGTAATGTCCAATGTTTTTTGGTTTTATAGAAAGATATCTTGAAACGACTTCAGAGCTCAAACCCCAGCCTAGTGGAGCCAATGGCGGTTGCTCTGAAATTTTTAAGTTTGAGCATCATTAACAAAAGCGTCGTTCCTCATTTGATCCGCATTGTAGGAGATTATGATAAAGAAGCACAACGCTCTAATGATGATACACAGGATACGATTCCTATCACAAGAGATATGAGTAGGGCATCTCAAAGAACATTGGAGGTAA